TGTTTTTCCTTTCATTCTTTCTCTTACTAACACCACATACTTCGGTAGCTGCATGCAATAAACCTTTCTTTACGTTTTGCCATACATTCTCCAAGTCTAACTCCTTCATACATAATTCATCCAAACCACTTATATTTTCTTTCAGTCTACATTTGAACTTGTTTCTCTCACCTTCATCTTGCAACCTTTCTGTTCTAATACGCTGTAACGCAGTGGTAGACACAGATGACCGATGGCGCCAGCGCCTGAATAGACCATTAATTCGGCATAAAACCAAATAATGATCCGTTCCTACGTTAGAACCCCGGTAAACCCTTGTATCCACCACTGCGCCCCTTAATCTTTCATCCACAATTACGAAATCTATCATGCTTCTATCGTCACCTCTTTCCCAAGTATACATATGAATTCTCTTGTGGCGAAAGCAAGTGTTCGTCACAAAAAGATTCTTTTCCATACATACGGTGAGGAGACTTTCACCATTCTCATTTATACTTTCATCACCAAACGTTCCCAATATCCTTTCATAACCAAGCCTCCTCACCCCAACCCTTCCATTAAAATCTCCTAGCATAATAATATTTTCATTTCCCTTACACTTCATTAACACCATCCTTACCATTTCCCAAAACTGCTCTCGGATATAAGTGGGCTTAGACATGTCTGGGGCGTAGACCCCTAACACGAACAACTTCTTTAAGCCCACTTTCATTCGTATCCATAGCAGTCTTGGGCTTACACATTCATACTCTTTCACACATTGGCCCATTCTTTCTGAAAGGATGATACCTACTCCCTGGCATGCCCGCTCGATCTCGTCTACACCAGACCAGTATGCGGTATACATGCCATGTGTAGTGACATCCTTCCCCTTCCTTTTCGTCTCATTTACGCATAACACATCTATTCCTCTATCATACATCATATCGCATACTTCATCCATTGCCCCACATACATTCAACGTAGCCAGACGGGCCTCTGCAATCCACTTTTCGCCTCTCCGGGAGACAGAACGTGACGGGTGGCGAACCTCGTCGCCGGTTTTCCTCCCGGCGATTCTTCGCACCCCTGCCCCATTAAAGGGGCGCCGGAAACTCGGGGCTATTTCCTTTATCTGGTTAGTCATTGATAATGAATTGAAAAAAAAAAACATGATAAATATTATTCATTTCAAAAACGAATATCAAAAACAAAAATTAATGACTGCATACCTGAAGTTTGTAAAACAATTGTACAAATACTTGCAGAGCAAGAGAAACATATAAATTTTAATTTTATATTTTTTAATAATATACATCACATCAAATTTCAACTTACAAATTATCATGTTATCATGAAACAATTTTTGTTTTTCTAATTTCAAATATTATTTAATAAATCACAGCTTTTAAAATTTTTTGGTTTATTATTATAAAAAAAATATTCCTAATTATACTGAATATATTTACACTGAATGAGCTTTTTGACCGTCTGGAAACAAAGTAGAAGCCTATAACACTGATATTTTACAAGTAAAGACAAAAAATTTGAATTAAACGTTTAATTTTTTTTAACAATTACTTTACCCTTTTCCCTTATCCAGTGAACCTGCGAAGTGACAAGGTCAAAGACGCCTACTAAATTTATTGTTTTATTGCCGTTCGTAAAGTAGGTAAAATGATTTGAACTTCGATAGATTTTAATCAATTTATTTATTTAATTTAACATTTTTGCTTTTATTTTTTGTAAAATATCAGTGCCATAGGCTTCTACTCCGTTCACATGATTATACACTCTATTTTTTTCCAAACGGTAAAAATGGTCACCAGTATAAATATTTAACTTAAAAAAAATACCGTTACTTATTCAATAAGCTCTTTTGCAAAATGATAATAATGTGATTACCACGGTATATCGCGTTGCGGTTATCGGATCTTCAATCAATGAGGGCTAACAATTGTAAGCTTACCAGATGTAGCTATTCCGACGAAGGTGATTTTATTTACCATTGAAAAGTTGCGTTTTAAAAAGCTTTTTTAGTTTCTAATATAACACAAAACAAGAAGTGTTCCTTAATTTATTTACACATTTTAATTTTTTTTAATTCTTATGCATTTAGGAATATCCATAGTTTCCAACCATTCCAGCTTCGATCAACAATACCAACTAGATAACGGGTCGCGTACAAAACCATAGCTAAATACTGTCCACATGAATATAGGTAAACTATGAAAAGACATAAATTAAATAACATTTAGTGTGAAATCAACCTTAAATTTTAACAAATAAAGTTCTTTTTCCCGTTATTGCCTTGCGAGCTACACTCTCACGTGCAAGAGCTCACGTCTCATGTGCGCTCTTATTTACTGAGATGGATTTCTTGCGCCGATCCGACATCTAGTTGGTATTGTTGATCGAAGCATGAAAGAATCTTTAACACTTTTCTAACAAATCAACTTCCCCCACTATGAAATCTATCAAATAATACACTTCATTTCAAAGTGGCGCCGCCCTGTTGTCAGAAAAAAAAACGTGAATGCCCTCATTGGTCTTTTGCAGCTTCAATCAGAATGTCCTGTTCTTTTTTTGCAACCAATTTTACTTTCTTCTTCAAAAGCTTAATTACTTATTTTTAGTCCCCCGCAATCAATTTTTTTACAAAAATATAAAATGTACAGACATCTGCAATTTACATTTTTATTATAATAGGTAATAGATTAGATTTTATAACACGTTTTCAAATTTTAATTTAAAATTAATATTTTTATAAGAAGAAATGAATTTTTTTATCGTACTAATTTTCTACGGAGATTAAATAAAATTAACTTACTTATAAAAATATTTCAGTAAATGTTTTGTTTTAAATATAAATTATTTAAAACAAAACAATTACTGAAATATTTTTTATTAAATACCTTAAAATAACCTATCATTCTTCCATTTACTATATCAGAAAGTTCGTTATAGATATTTAGATATTTGAAATACAAAATATTATGTCGATGTATTTATATTCAATGAAGAACGGCCACAAACATCTCAAAACGTATCAGATAATGTTAGGCCTGAAAAAGAAAGATGTCTTTACGAAAAATGTAAAAATAACATGACATAAATAAGCCAATTGCATAAACATAACCTTAAAAGCCAAAATAAAATTTAATGTTTTAACTAGTGACAATGTAGTAAGAAAATTTTCCAAGAAAATAACACCAACATTTGCACTGTTATTACAAGTTCAAAAGAGAATTTTAAAATAAAAGTTACGAGACACAGATGGACAAAAGAGAAAAAATTGTAGCCTTGAGGCTGTATAACAGGTCACCCACCTGTTACTGGCTATTCAGGCTCTATTATAGGCTCATTTGGGTTGTCTTTGCTATTGAAACCAATCAACCAGTTTTGAAGGTGCTAGCAGATTTTTTAATAACTAAAAACATCAGTCAATCTAAGTATATTATTTCATAGTCAATTTATGAAATATCTTCAAAAATATATGTCATAATTATGCCTTGATTTCTAAAAAGGCATTATCAAGATCCTGCCTTAACTTCATGATTTCGAAATATTTTCATGCAAGGAGTTACAATTTCGTTGGACATAGTCAATGAGTTTTTCACTAAGAAACTGATATATATTTATAAATAAAAATCAGTTGCCGTATGTATGTAAGATCATAACTTGAGAACGGCTAGATTGTTTTTGATGAACACAGTGTGTCACATTTTGATCCGGTAAGGAGCATTGTTGTCGAGATCTCGAAGAGAGTCATGCTAGTGCTAGGCCGGAATAGATCGTTAGTCAAAAATAAAATCGGGACTACAAATGGGATGGTTTATTATATTTGTATATTATTTTTATTATATTGGATTTACAGTTTGCAAAATAAATATTTGCTTTGTGCCGCCCCTGCTTTGAACGAGTTACCCCTGAGATGAAAAGCTGCCGAAGTGTCTTCGCAAGTAGCACCCCACACTAAATCTTTATCTCTCTCCTAAGCATCCAACGCCATTCTGCTGGGTCTCCTGCCATCGTCTCAAAATATTCTACAAAGCTCTGAAACCAAGGGAAGATTTATAAGGCTCTCCCACACTATGCTCCTATATTGTCCTATCTATCCACACACTGCTCTACTTGCGCAATTAATCGCGACACAATGGATGTTGAAATTTTTGCAGCGTGCGAGCTATGCATATTTTCTTATAGCTAATTATATCAATTTCATAAAAAGAAATATACTTTGTCGTCGTCGAGATAGCTTTTTCTCTGTATATTCTTACTCATGTGACAATATGGCTGAATAATGATGATAGGTACACTATTTATGATTTTTAAATGACATGTGACGTGCTTCTGTAGCTGTACCAAGCGCTCTCCGCCGCGACTCCATTTGTGCGAGTGTGTGGCCACTTGCGCTAGTACCAGTCCTTTGTTTCGCACCCAAAAAACCGACAAAACAGGGTGCGATAGGTATGACGAGGAGCATGGCGTGCGGCATGACGAGTATTGTGGCCACACTACGTCTTTGGCTCCCTTCCTCGCTATTTTCCATGGCACTTGACGAGTGTGTGGCCGGGATCGAAGGGCCGGGGGGTAAGAAATATTAAAAGCTCGAAAGTTACATTAAAAACTTCATACCATAGCCAGTTTTTCCATACCTAGGGGTGATTTTTTTTTTCAAATTTATCGGCGTAAACTTCACATTGGTGAACCTCTCAAAACGCAAAGTTACTGTTAATATCATTTATTATAATGGATTTCCGCGAAGTAACACCCGATTCTATCAATTATCAATTAAATTATAGTTTTAAAAAACAGAATATTTTCCCACCGATTATCCACATAATATTGTGTCGTGTAGCATACACAAAACACGATATCTGTACTGCTAATGGCACCAATTGTAGTCCATTTGGAGGAGCGGAAGTTACCCATTAAGATAGATTTGAGCAAGGGGCATTTATAAATGTACAGTAAGAAAGGATACCAAAACATGAAACAGTAAATGTTTTAACGTTAAAATGCGTATAATGGTATTACTATTCATTTAGTATGTTTCTTTTTATATATTTAATATGTTTTCTTTTCTTCTTAAAATAACTTGTTAATTAAAGGATTTATTATAGTTTTAGTTGGTCAACATGCAATGAAGATATTGTCGTGCTTATTCTAGCTAGAGGTGGTTCCAAAGGAATACCCTTGAAGAACCTGCAGACAGTAGGTGGTTTAAGTTTAGTTGCTCGATCCATTTTAACTGCAAGAAAAGCTGGATTACTGAACATAACTGTTTCCACGGATCATCCATTAATAGCGTTAGAAGCTCTGAAATGTAAGTATAATATTTGCTATTTATGATTATCAAATTATTGGCAATCTTAATATGTTTAAACATCTTTATTAGATGGTGCATCTGTATTTCGTCGCAGTTCTATAACAGCTGCTCATTATGCGCCTTCTATTTGGGGTGTAGAAGAATTTGCTCTTTCTATGCCACTCGCTAAAATTATAGTTTTATTACAAGCTACTTCGCCATTTCTTCGGTACTCAGACTTACAAGAGGCGTTAAAGAAACTTCAACATCCCAGATCTTACGATTGTGTGTTTTCAGTTATAAGGTAAGATGCCCATTTTATTTTAATTTTAACTGACTTCAAAAAAAGGAAGTGGTACTCAATTCGACTGTATTTTTTATGTGTGTGAAACTTGATACTTTTCATGTCGTCCCATATAAATTTGATCAAGATTTGACAAGTTATCCTTAATAGTCCTTTTTTTGACTTCGACTATATTGATAATGTTCTTATTTTATTTATATTGAAGTCTGCTGAACAAAACCTTTAATTTTACCACTTGTTGATACACTATTCTAATAAGTTATAAGAGTCACTTGGGCCATTTTAATGGGGCTAACTTGGGCAGATTCATTTTGTAACCAATTATTCAGTTGTGTAATACTACTACTACCTTTGCGGGTGTTATGGTGGTGTAAAATAATCCATATCATCCCGTGGGTACCATAAGAAGCCACTGTTGGACATTCCGCCCGCCAAGCGTGACGATTACGGCAAATTTTACTTACAATAAAAGAAGCCTATGTCCTACAGTAGCTTTTTATGGACTAATAGTGACGATAATGATGATGACGATGTACTTGGAACTCGTACACTACTTACAACAATCAATAACAACTGAATCATGAACGAACCAATCGAACAACTGAAATAAAGTCGTATCTGCTCTGTCATCTCTTACGAAATCCACGGAATATTAAGTATTACGAGTAGATTCTCTTAAACCGCCATTAAAAGGTAGCATTTTCAATGGAATACTGTAGAGATCTCAGGTAATCGCCAAAATAAAACGCAAAAATAATGAATTTTAGGAGTTATAAGCTTCGTTGGAAATTAATGAATGGAAGCCTAATGCCAATAAATTTTAAATACGACAGCAGACCTCGCAGACAAGACTGGAATGGTGAATTAATAGAAACTGGAGCCTTTTATGTATCACGAGTGGAAATAATAAAACAAGGATTTTTGCAAAATAAAAAGTGAGTAGTAGGTAAAATATATTATCATGATCATTACAGCCCTTTACAAGTCCACTGCTGAACATAGGCCTCCCCCAAGTAATGCCACAAAGCACGGTCCTGAGCCACCTGCGTCCATCGACTTCCTGCATGTCTTACCAGGTCGTCACTCCATCTAGTGGGCGGTCGCCCTACAGTACGCCTACCAGTACGAGGCTGTCATTCGAGAACCTTTTTTCCTCAATGGCTGTCGGTTCTTAGAGCTATATTGCGACCGGCCCATTGCCACTTCAGCTTATTAATCCTTAATGGATTAGCCATTGGGCGATGTCGATCACTCTGGTTCTTCTGCCGATATCCTCATGTCCAAGTTTATTACGCAGAGATACCCCGAGCATAGCCCTCTCCATAGCTCGCTGAGCGACCATGAGCGTCCTCATACGCCCAGCAGTGAAGGACCACGTCTCAGATCCGTAAGTCATCACTGGCAACACGCAATGTTTGTACAATCTAGTTTTCAGGTTTTATGGTATACCTGACGAGAAGATGTTTCGTAATTTCCCGAATGCTGTCCAGCCGAGTTGAATCCGTCGATTGACCTCTCGGTCGAAGTTGTACTCGTCAACAACTTCGAGCTTAGTGCTCCCAACAACTACCAGCATAGGTGTAACATGGACATTAAACATGATCTTTGTTTTGTCCATGTTCATATTAAGACCTATCCGATGGGAGACACTACTAAGGTCATTGAGCACAGTGCTTAGGTCCTCCAGCGATTTTTCCATAAGGACTATATCATCGGCAAATCGAAGGTGAGTGATGTATTCGCCATTGATGTTAATACCGTATCCTTTCCAGTCCAGTAGCTTGAAAAAGTCTTCCAATGCAGCGGTGAAGAGTTTCGGGGATATAATGTCACCCTGTCTTACACCTCTCTGCAGTTGGATAGGTTTCGAACTCTGGTTCTGTATTCGGATAACCATCGTAGGCCTATTGTACAAGCACTTCAGCACTTCGATATACCGACAGTCAACTTGGTATCGCTGAAGGGACTGTAGCACCGCCCAAATTTCGACGGAATCAAAGGCTTTCTCATAGTCTACATACACCAGGCAAAGTGGCGGATCGTACTCTTCTGTCTTCTGCACAATCTGCCACAGGGTTTGTATATGTAGTCTATGGTACTGAAGCCTTTTCGGACACCATCTTGTTCGGGAGGATGGAAGTCGTCGAGTCTGCGTGCGAGACAATTCGTAATGACTCTCGAAAACAGCACGTAGACGCGGCTCAGAAGGAAAATCGGTCTGTAGTTCTTCAAGAGAGCGTTGTCGCCTTTCTTAATCCGCTGTAATTCCATCCTCGCCTGGGGCCCTGCCGGTTTTAATGTGCCAGGAGAGCCATCCTAATCTCGCTCAGAATGACGTCCGGGACATCATCAGAATGGTGTCGGATACGACTTGCTCTTGGATTGTTTCTCACACTTGCGTGTGACTCCAACGATGATGAGTACAGCTGCCCATAGAGCCTTTCAATCTCAATCAAAATCTCAGATGTCCCGGAAATAATGCTGCCAAACTCAGTCTTCAGCTTTGACAGTTGACTCTTACTGGCAGACAGATCTCTGGCAAAGACTTTGGAGCCCTAGGACCACTCTATTGCTTCTTCAATATGAGCAGAATTAAGTCCCGCCGCATGTATTTGGAGATCTGTCTGTTCAGTTGTCTGTATGCTGTCAAATCTGCTGACGACTGCAGCTTCATCTCCCGTCTAACAGCCGTGAGATTAAGAGTGTGATCGTACAGTTTTTGTGTTCTTCTTCGGCGAGTCTTGCAGAACTTAGCTCCGACCGCATGGACAGTTTCCACGAAATATAATATACTCAGAGATATAGTATATAATATCCATAGATGGATGAAAATGGAATTACTAGAAACGTCGTTGAGTGTAAAACGTTGTTATACCTACTCTTTGGCTTAGTGCCAAGTGTCACTCAACAGCCAGTTCGTAGACAGAGAAACCTATAGACAAATTGACGCCTTCTTTCGCAGTCGCACACGAAAAAGATAAATTTATGCATACGTCTTGTATAGAAATGAGACAGAGCAGTGTGATTGTTTGTCCCTTTCTCCGTGCCGGTTTTTTTGTTTAGCAAACTGCACTTTGCTAAACAACTTTGACAGTTCGTAGCAATCTAAGGAGTTTACAAGTTCGTTTAAGTGAGAAAAAAGTGTTTTGTGAGCTTAAAATTGGTGAATCTTGTTCAGTTCAGTTCTTAGAACAATTAAAATTTTTATTTAAATATGTTTAAAAGTCATAAAGATTATTGTATAACCTAAAACTACGTTATCGTCCTTTCTCACTCGCGGCCACGCTAATCATTAGTCTATAGGTTTCTCTGTCTACGAGCCAGTTATTAAAAAAAATCACTCAACCGGGGAGTCATGAAGGTTATGGTTTTTGGTATTGGTTAACTATGGAGTGTAGAAGTAAGGAGTACAGACTGTGTATTAAAAAGTGTCCATAAAAACCTTTAAATAAGGGTACGGGGGCCCTATAGCTACGGGGTAAATTTTAAAGAACGCACCGAAAAATATTAGTGGGATAGACGATATTTTCGAGGTTATATTTACTAAATAAAATTATTTTAGATTTTAGAGCTACTGAGCAGTTTAGCAGCACACTTAAACCGTCGACAACTGCTAAGTTCATTTCATCCCAGTAGCTACTCCAGCGCTGTTGTGGAGAGTTTTTGAGCTGTTATTTACTGCTTACAGATAACCACTTTTTCCACTATTTTACTATAGGAGTTGGTACTCCTTACGTTTACACTCCATAAGGAGAACGATCGCCTTAAAAAACAGTGTCCCAGAAATATGGACACCATAAGTGAGGCGCTGCGATCGCTATAATCGGCCAATAAAAGTAATTTTCAGTCTATTTTTCCGATCAGATGCTAAACCACTTGCACATCCACGCACAATAAAATATTTCTCCATTTTTTAATGTTTCTTATTATCAAAAATTACAAAATTACGGAGCATGAAAATTTCCTCACAAATGCCGCGGAGAAAATTTGTACATTATTCAACTAACTTCATCTGCTTATACTCATAAACAGCTAACTTCGCAGTCACTACTCACCGACGTCAGCGCCGCTATAAATTCCACAATTTTTCAAAGCAAATAAATTTTCATTTCATTTCATTTCATTACAATTTTCAAGGACAGGCGGGCTATGATTTAGTAGGTAAAGATCGTTCTCCTGTTCTCTAACCTTCATGCAGGGAGTTTTGGCGGGAATTTGACCGTCATCACCGTAGACAGAGAATCCTAGGATTCTCTGTCTACGGTCATCGCTATCCACTGGGTTGAGCTGTCGTCAAAATCTCCCGAAAACTTCGCAATGTGACGCATTAGCTTAATGTGAAGAAAAATATATAAAAACGAAGATTTCGAAAGAAATCAGAAAAACTAGAACCCAGAGCCGTAAAGCCAGTTAAGTATAAAAAATGTCACTTAACCAAAACAATTTTTGACAAACAATAATAACAGTAAAAGAAAACATATTAGAAAGTTAAGTTCAGTTAAGTTACATCACATACGTATACATACACTCCTATCTATGAGTTACATACATAGTACATATGCTTAGCACATCACCACATCAGCCCATGCCGAGTACATACTAACCAACGTAATTAGAATTTTGTTTTTGTAACATATTTTATATTTTATTCCTCAGCTGTACAATTTTGGAAGTAAGTACAGAAGAAAGTCTAGAGGTGGATTCGTACTACGATTTACAAGTTGCTAATGCATTACTTAATTCTAACTTAGTTTCGTCCGAATAATACCTCAACTTCATATTTTTTGTAAGTATAAATAGAGTTCAAAAAGAATTAAATTTAATTAAACAGAAAATTGTTTAAATATAATTGGAATTATATTTTAAATGCAAATAACTTTATATTTTACTATGTGATATTTATTGAGCAAAATAGAAAAGAAGAAGAATTAGTTTACATGTTATGAAACAGAAAGTATATTCTCTGGGTAAAACCAAAATGACAGATTATTTAATGTGAAATGTTGATGTCCTTATCCATGTTCATATCTTATTTGGTTGTGGGTGTCTTATGGGCGACAGACGGAAATAATACAGGAGAAGTGTAGCAGCATTTTCATAATAACAACTTATAAATATAAAACAACTGTGGTCAATATCTCACGTTATCCTATGCCTATGTGGCTGGTTTTAATCCTCTAAATAAATAATTGTTGTTTTGTTATTTTTTTACATCCATATAGTTTTAGTAGGTTTTTGGTAATGGATCACTTGCTTTTAATATTGTCTTGGCTTAACTGTACAAAGCTTACAATTGATTTAAAGGTTCAAATTTATGAAGGATAAATCTTTGTTGTTTGAAAGTAATGGCTTGATGAATTTTAACATACAAGATGTCGTTAGATTTGTCTAAATTGTCTGAGCGACATAGGGTATAAATTTTTTTCTCTTCTCAGTATTTTTTAACACAGGTTATTTTAGGTACTGTTATATTTAAACGTAAATAAAATACATTTGATTCAAAATCTGGTACACAAACAACCCCATTTCATCCCAACATGGTACTTGTCTGTCTTACTCCTAAGTGGTGAGCAGCATGGAGAAAGTGTATCTTATACCTGATGTAACAAACTTCAATGTAATATACAATGGCTGAGGGGCTGCACTTCTGTAGCATTGGAGCCGTTGTAATCCTGATATTATATAGTAGTAGTAGTAGTATATCCTGATTAAATATATTTTTAACGTTTTGCACTCCACCAGTTAAAGTATAATGATGCCCCTAAAAACAATTGACAAAACAAAATGGTAGCTTTGATTGTTTAAAACTATCTAAATGCTTCACATTTTATTAAATAGATTACTTGGTGTTTGTACAGAGCAGGATTTATACTATTTATTGTTTCAGTTTTTTCTTTTTTCTTCTTCTATTCGGTTATAAGAACTTACTATATATTACATTATTTATATATTTTCGTACTTAGAGCTGGACTTACATATAATTGCTTGTCTTAATATTTAAGTCAAGCTCAAAGTATAAAAATCCATCAAAGTAAAAATCATTACATTGTAATAAAATAATAAATAATGAAACCTCTTCCTCAGCATCACCTACTGGCTATGACAAATAGTTCGGAAGAGGTAACATTTGAAGAGTTAGAAGCTACAGATGTAATCAGTGTAGAACTTGTCCCGGAACGCAAGGGGTTGATATTGAAACATTGTGAATATTATGTGAGTTCAAGAAGACATGGAACTACTGTCACAAGGAGATACAATGAATTTGTTCAACTATGTGATGTGTTTTTTGCCAAATATCCATACAGGTAAGAAATTTGAATTTAAGTACAACAACATTTCAGGAATAGCATATATTTTTCTTATAGAACTTATAAATATTGTCATTATCATGCCTGTAATATAAAACAATTATTTAAAAAGTTGTTCAAATTCTAGTGTAACTGATTTAGAAACCATATTACTATACCTCCTCTGTTGTAATCAATCATAAGTATTATTTTAAATTGTATATATTTATTACTTAATGTAAAAGTAATATCCAAGGAAAAATTATATATGTTAAAGGGCATTGCTCTGCTTAGGTACATAGTAGAACTATAATTGATATCACATTAAATAACCTTGAGCCTTGTTTGTTGATAAAAATATCATTTTATTGATATGTAGTGTGAATCTGTTTTTATTTCTGCCAGCTTCATCATTTTATTTATATGTATGTAGTATGAATCTGTTTTTATTTCCCGAAATGATAGCAGTATGTTACACTTAATGCAATAATATTTTTTCTTGATTAGTTGCTTGTAATAAATTAAAAAATAAATTAAATACAAATTAACTATTTTTTTTTATTTTTTACGCAATAAACAATGCACATCCTTACTTAATATATATACTATACTTAATCATTGTATATTCCTTACTTAACTTATGGTTTAACTACCTTTATACCTGTTTTTGATGTCTTGATAGAACAACTTTTAGCATTGCTTAAATTTAAGTTGTTTTTTATAAGGTAAACCTTTCATAAGTTTTAGTATACTTAGATAAGTATAACTTATCTAAGTATACTAAAAGTAATCACTAACTTTTACGTAACTTGTATTTTTCAGCCTCAGTTTTGGTTTTTGTATGAAATCATATTTTATTTTGGTGATGTTAGAAAGTTGGAATTTAACAAATCCTCATATGGAAACAAAAAAAAATTATCACGTACAGATCTTTAACTGCCTTAAATGAGATGGTATACCACCATCTATCTGTCATTAGTCGGTCAAGTTTTCATGGTCCATGGAATGAAATGCAATGTTGGATTCTCTTACGCCACTACCATGTGGTATTCTTTCTTAATATTATCACCACTATTATTAACCATTTCACTGTTCCCTGAGTCACGTATGAACATTTCGATTTATATGTGGTAGAGCTACACTGCAGCTATATTATGGTTGTAGCACAAATGGGTCGACTTGATCGGGGAAGGACCACACTCTCACAGATTACCAGCGTAAAATAGCAGTTTAATACCGCTGTGTTTCGTATTTCTAATCTGTTTAAAAAAGTTGACGATTCTGATAAAATGATTTCATTCCAAAAAAATTCAAGATCAATTTTCCACTTAACATTTTTTAAACGACTATGGTCTTAAAATTGTATTCACTATTGAAAAGAAATGTTAATTTATATTTTATAGAGCTGTATGCCGTTTGCCGCCTAAACGGGTCGTAGTTGGCGGCGGTAGTCCAGTGTTTCTTCAGCGACGTCGTGCAGCGCTACAGCGCTGGTTGACTCTAGTCGCTAGACACCCAGTACTAGCGCATGACGCGGATTTGCGAACCTTTCTTTGTGAATCTTCTGCGCGTTTGGAAAAGCCGAAACACGATGAATTTGTCTTGGCCGGCACACAGGATGATTCTCCCGTAAGTTGTTTTTTGTTGGATTGCTTGTTTCTATGAGGCTCATGATTAATTGATTTTAAAATGTTAAGTATCGATTTACCAAAATAGTAATAAAAAACAACATTGTTAATTGTTGATGATAATTTTGCTACATGCTCAGTGAATGAAAGAAATTTATATTACCCTAGCAATTCGTAATAGAGGCATACATACATATAGATGATTGTAGATGGTATAAAGATAATTTTTTTTTCTAGAGACAAATGTCGATGGACGAAATGCAGGCAGCATTTGTATCAGAGCAGGAGCAGCTACGGTTGGTGCAACTAGGTCTAAGCAGATTATTTAAAATATTTGAAAGAGGTTGGTATTTTAAATAAAACTAATTTTACAGATTAATATGCTGCATCATTTGATTTAGAATTTGTCTTCATAGCATATCATATGATAGCGGTAAGAGTTTTAATCATAACTATGGCCTACATAGTATAAAACATATGAGTCTCTTTGGTAAAATACAAAGGGAATGATGCATCTTCTTTCACGCGATTGGCCCATCCCATCATTCAATCGTTGTTTATGTCTAATAGATAACCTATAAAGTAGGTATAATTATACTGACTCCCACTGTTGCTACATTGCAATAACAGACCTAAATCTGCTTGAGTTTCAGGCGAAAAACGAGCCTCATCACGTGAACACTCAGAACAATAAAGAAAGAGAAACGAAGCGCTGCATTTCAAGTGACGCCGAAACCAAGTCAAAATTATGCTTAATTTATTGTACGAAACCTGAACTTACGCACACATGCATTTAAAATCAGAATCAGATGAAGACAATTTAAGGTGTATAATATGCGTGATGTAGTATGTGTTTATCTTTGTTTGTCTTAGCTTGCATTTCATCGTCGATGAGGATACCCACGTTTTCTGCCACCAGGGCGGCGCCACTTTGGTATGAGGTGAAATATTTGACAGATCTCATGGATGGGAAGTATGGAGTGTAGAAGTAAGGAGTACAGACTGTGTATTAAAAAGTGTTTATAAAAACCTTTAAATAAGGGTGACGCCACTATAACTACGGGGTAAATTTTAAAGAGTGCAAAATGATTTCATAAATTTACGCGAACACTACACATTGAATAAAAACTAAATTTACGGATTTTATCGCGTTTATTTCACTACTTTTACTTATTTTTAATTCCCGACGTTTCGGGTGCTTTACAGCAACCATGGTCACGGGGGGGACTGAGATGTTTGACGTCCCAATGTCATAGTTAGTCCGGCTACCTTCAGTTTTTGAATATTAATTTTTGGTCCGATTTACGCAAAACGAGCTTATAGTATCATGAAGTCTTGCAGTGGTATGCTTAGGTTTGGGTTTAATTTTGTTAATTATAGGATCCCAAGCAGGTGGCAGCACCCATCCATCTTCTCTATTGAAATTTGGATGTTTTTTAATTTCAATAGCCTCGCGTATCATCCTTTGTTGTTACCAATGAACACCTTAGGTGTTAGCGAAGGGAATGAATTTCGCATTAACACCGCGAAAAATCCCGTACGAAGAAATTATCTGCAGCGTTGAGGATTGTCTGTTTAAAAATAATATTGGTAAGGAAGATTTGGAGGCTATACATCAAGATATTTCGTCCTTGTTACGTCGTAGTTCAGTGCCGAAACCAAACCTTCCTAAAGACGAATTTACAGCGTTGATTAACTTACGGAACAGACCAGATCTAACGATTCTCCGCGCGGATAAAGGAAATGCTACGGTAATAATGGACACGTCAGAGTATAATTTTAAAATACTACAGCTTTTATCGGACGAAAGTACATACAAAAAGGTCAAAACAGACCCCACAACTAACACGCTTAAAGCAACTAGCGATTTAATAAAGAAACACTCCGAAAAATTAAACCTCGACGTGAATTCGCTAATACCATCATGTACCAAACCACCGAGGTTGTATGGGTTACCAAAGATACACAAACCAAACGCTCCACTACGTCCTATAGTGAGCCAGATTGATTCACCAACTTATAAGCTGGCACAACACTTAGCAAAAGTACTGTCACCACTGAGAGGACATACCAGAGCACATACAAAGGATTCATACCATTTTGTTAGTGAGATAAAAGACCTACATCTCGCTGACAATGAAATTATGGTCAGTTTTGATGTTCAGTCACTATTCACATGCCTACCTATTGAAGACTGCATATCAATTGTAACTAGGAAGCTAGAAAATAATAACTTGCCTGCTGAATATGCAGTATTACTCAAACACTGCCTCACATCTGGCTATCTATTGTGGAAGGAGGAGTTCTACAAGCAAGTAGATGGTGTGGCGATGGGCTCACCTGTATCTCCCATAGTCGCTGACATATTCATGGAGGACTTCGAGGAGAAAGCCCTTCTTACTGCTCCTGTAAATCCAAGATTCTACAAGCGGTACGTATACGACACTTTCACAATTTTACCATCTGACAAAGTAACTGCATTTTTAAACCACCTTAACTCTATAAACTCTAAAATACAATTCACAATGGAGTTAGAGGCAAATAATTCTTTAGCTTTCTTAGATGTTTTAGTCATTCGAAATCCTAATAACACAATTGGTCACACTGTGTATAGAAAAAAGACCCATACCAACCGATATTTAAATGGTGAATCTCACCATCATCCTTCACAGTTGGCTACCGTGGGTAAATTTTTGTTTCAGAGAGCACGAGGGATCTGTGACAGAAAACATCTGGCCGCCGAACTTCAGCACGTCAAGCAAGTATTGCAAGACAACAAGCTTCGGGTCCCGCGCCTACGTCACAGTGACCGAGTGAAGCCGGCCACAGTCGAGCGTGTACCTGCTGTACTACCATATGTCAGAGGAGTCACAGACAAGGTTGGCTACATCTTGAAGCGAGCTTCTATTAAAACTTACTACAAGCCGCCGAAGAAGATTAGTCAATTTTTACCATCCGTCAAGTGTAATATCTCTCTACAAGATGCAGGAGTGTACAAGTTAGATTGTGAATGTGGTCTCTCTTACATAGGTCAAACAAAAAGATCCATAAAAACCCGCGTTAAAGAACATATAGCTGACGTGAAGCACCGACGCTCCGGGAAGTCTGCAGTCTGCGAACATGTTCAAGATCGTCCCCACCATTACATTCGTTTTGATAAACCACAAATTCTCGCAAAAGAACACCGATTCCTACCAAGGATGATACGCGAGGCTATTGAAATTAAAAAACATCCAAATTTCAATAGAGAAGATGGATGGGTGCTGCCACCTGCTTGGGATCCTATAATTAACAAAATTAAACCCAAACCTAAGCATACCACTGCAAGACTTCATGATACTATAAGCTCGTTTTGCGTAAATCGGACCAAAAAATTAATATTCAAAAACTGAAGGTAGCCGGACTAACTATGACATTGGGACGTCAAACATCTCAGTCCCCCCCCGTGACCATGGTTGCTGTAAAGCACCCGAAACGTCGGGAATTAAAAATAAGTAAAAGTAGTGAAATAAACGCGATAAAATCCGTAAATTTAGTTTTTATTCAATTTAAAGAGTGCATCGAAAAATATTAGTGGGATAGATGACTTTTTCGAGGTTATGTTTACTAAATTTACTTACTTACTAAATTATTTTAGATTTTAGAGCTACTGAGCAGTTTGGCACCACAATTAAACCGTCGACAACTGCTAAGTTCATTTCATCCCAATAGCTACTCCAGCGCTGTTGTGGAGAGTTTTTGAGCTGTTATTTACTGCTTACAGATGGACACTTTTTCAACTGTTCTACTATGGGAGTTGGTACTCCTTACTTCTACACTCCAAAATGGGAAGTTTCAAATTGTTAGGAAAATATAAGGATTAATGTTTCCGTCTGAGATATCTATACAAATAAATAAGTTGAAGGAATCTCTAGTCGGATATTTATCGACCAAATTGGCGATATTTTGAAAATGGGCCAGATTAGGAGTACACTTAACCGACGAGCATGTATGCGTAGATATATAGATGTAAAGGAGGCAAGAGAGGTGTCAGGATCGTGCCAAATGGAAGTCTGTAATCTCTATCTACCCCTATCGGTGACAAACGGGAGGGTTTATGTATATGTATTATGTATGTTATATTATTTATATTATAATGGATGAAACAAACTAAGGATATTCCTTAAAGTAAAATAATTAAAAAGACAGCGAAGTAAAATAGTACAAAAAATTAAAAACTTAAGGAATGGAAATACTTTTTTGAAACGCAACTGTTTACTTATGACGACTATGTGTGACAAATAACTTACCTCACCCATAACCTCAGTCCCAACTAGCGACATCTAATATACAGAAAATTATTAGCCCTAATTGTTCACAGTGGAGGCTCGGTGTGAAGCCGAACGTGCAGATATCCGGGAGTTGGGAGCTGGCCTCAGTGCTCTCAGCACCTCCTCGCCAGCTGACTCCTCACGTTGGCTTGCGGTCAGACAGTCTATGAAGTCTGCAGCTGAGTACGTACTACTATTTGCCAGACTATGATAATATTCTTATAATAATGAGGGCATTTTCTCTTTAATAAATAGTATAAAGCCGTACTTTGCCCGTAAGTTCATTATCATAATATTAAACGTCTGAAACGAAAAAAAAGACGCGCACGTACGTATGCACGCGCGCCCACACACACACAGACACACAGACACACAGACACACAGACGCACAGACGCACAGACACACACAGACAGACAGACACACACACAGACACACACAGACAGACAGACAGACACACAGACACAGACAGACAGACAGACACACAGACACACACAGACAGACAGACAGACACACAGACAGACAGACACACAGACAGACACAGACAGACACACAGACAGACAGACACACAGACAGACGGACGGACGGACGGACACACAGACAGACAGACAGACAGACACACAGACAGACGGACGGACGGACGGACGGACGGACGGATGGACGGACGGACGGACGGACGGACGGACGCACGCACGCATGCACGCACGCACGCACGCACGGACGCACGGACGCACGCACGCACGCACGCACGCACGCACGCATTCACGCATCACGCACGCACGCACGCACGCACGATACGCTCTCATTTAATTATCGTGTCAACTAGGTCCTTTCCAAGTTAAAAGGATCCTCGGCTATAATTTATAAGTAAAGTGAAAATATACTTAAATATGTAACATATTTAGTATACGAAAATATAAAAGTATATTACACTATAATTAAACAAATATATATGACATATTATGAGGATTCCTTTTTAAAACTGCAGATTGGCTACAGCGATGGGCGAATCGTCAGAAGAAGAAGTGGACTATGAAGATGGCGCCGGTGGCAAAGTTCTTCTGGCATTGGATGCGTTGGGAGCCTATAGGTACTTTGATAGTATGTATATATATGTAATATCGTAAATACGAGTGTGTGCGCACGCCCCCACCCTATCCTTTTTATCCTATCCTATGTAATATGCCTTTATATGTATAAAATGCTAATAGACAGTGACTTATGAAAAACTTCAGATATATGTACATACTTGTAAAGCTTATGTCTAGTGCGTATTATTGTTTATGCCATTGGGAACTGTTAGCTTTTTACAAAAGCCCAATTGATCGCTCCGTCAAGACCTGTGTGTAGTGTAACTGTGATATATACAAAAATAATCTTGTTTTCCGCTAGGCGGTGGTAAAACCTTGTTGTTAACGCCTGCCGTAAAATAACCAGAGACATGAGACGGGAAGCAGCGTGAAATGTGCAAAACTTCTGGTACTAAGATTGTCAATCTGCCTGCAAAGCGTGATGATTGGGCTATGCTCGGTGTTTCTCTGCGTGATAAACTTAAAAATGAGGATATCCGCAGTAGAACTAGAGTAACCGACGTATCTCAACAGATTAGTGAGCGAAAGTAAATGGGCTGACTATAATATAGTTTGAAGAACTGACAAGGCAGCTTCGTACTGGTAGGTGAGTTGTATTGCTATCACCCACTAGATGGAGTGACGATCTAGAAAGATATGCCACATGATTTCCTAGTCGATGGGTGCAGATGGGTAAGGACCATGCTTCGTAACATTACTTGGAGGAGGTCTATGTTCAGCAGTGATAATGATGATAATTATGTAACAATACACTTATTTCTTAGACTTCTTAACCTTCCCCGGTTTTGCATGGGTTGGATCTATTTGTGTAGCGTCGTTTATATATAATATTATCAAAGACCATTTATTTTATTAAAGTTTTCGACTTCTAAAAAAACTCCAAGTAATATCACTTATTTCTCGCATCTCACTCTATCTGTTCATGAAGTTTAATTACCATCGGTCCAGAATATTCGAAGATGAGCTCGAACAGACAGACAAGTTTAAAATAAAAAATGGTTATTCATGTCTTAAACTGCGCCAATAACTTCTACTTAAAATAATGCAGTGTTTTCAATATTGCATACAGATACTTTAATTTTATTTATATGTACAGATTATAATTACGTACTGGTCATTAAACACAGGGAGTTGTGCGGTCGGCTAACGCGTGGGCTGCACGGGGAGCGGGCAGCTGCGGCGGCCGCAGCGCCGCACTCGGCTGCCGCGCAGCTGCTACGTCGCCGCCACGTCTACGCACTCGCCTGCTCCATCGAGGTAGGTGCACGCTCTCCGTCCCCGTCTCTCGCATGTCCCGTCCCGTTCGCACAGCTGCTGTGTCGTCGCCACGTCGACGCACTCGCCTGCTCCATCGAGGTAGGTGCACGCTCTCCGTCCCCGTCTCTCGCATGTCCCGTCCCGTTCGCACAGCTGCTGTGTCGCCGCCACGTCTACGCACTCGCCTGCTCCATCGAGGTAGGTGCACGCTCTCCGTCCCCGTCTCTCGCATGTCCCGTCCCGTTCGCACAGCTACTGTGTCGCCGCCACGTCGACGCACTCGCCTGCTCCATCGAGGTAGGTGCACGCTCTCCGTCCCCGTCTCTCGCATGTCCCATCCCGTTCGTACAGCTGCTGTCTCGCCGCCACGTCTACGCACTCGCCTGCTCCATCGAGGTAGGTGCACGCTCTCCGTCCCCGTCTCTCGCATGTCCCGTCCCGTTCGCACAGCTGCTGTGTCGCCGCCACGTCTACGCACTCGCCTGCTCCATCGAGGTAGGTGCACGCTCTCCGTCCCCGTCTCTCGCATGTCCCATCCCGTTCGTACAGCTGCTGTGTCGCCGCCACGTCTACGCACTCGCCTGCTCCATCGAGGTAGGTGCACGCTCTCCGTTCCCGTCTCTCGCATGTCCCGTCCCGTTCGCACAGCTGCTGTGTCGCCGCCACGTCTACGCACTCGCCTGCTCCATCGAGGTAGGTGCACGCTCTCCGTCCCCGTCTCTCGCATGTCCCGTCCCGTTCGCACAGCTGCTGTGTCGCCGCCACGTCTACGCACTCGCCTGCTCCATCGAGGTAGGTGCACGCTCTCCGTCCCCATCTCTCGCATGTCCCGTCCCGTTCGCACAGCTGCTGTGTCGCCGCCACGTCTACGCACTCGCCTGCTCCATCGAGGTAGGTGCACGCTCTCCGTCTCCATCTCTCGCATGTCCCGTCCCGTTCGCACAGCTGCTGTGTCGCCGCCACGTCTACGCACTCGCCTGCTCCATCGAGGTAGGTGCACGCTCTCCGTCCCCGTCTCTCGCATGTCCCGTTCCGTTCGCACAGCTGCTGTGTTGCCGCCACGTCTACGCACTCGCCTGCTCCATCGAGGTGGGTGCACGCTCTCCGTCCCCATCTCTCGCATGTCCCGTCCCGTTCGCACAGCTGCTGTGTCGCCGCCACGTCTACGCACTCGCCTGCTCCATCGAGGTAGGTGCACGCTCTCCGTCCCCATATCTCGCATGTCCCGTCCCGTTCGCACAGCTGCTGTGTCGCCGCCACGTCTACGCACTCGCCTGCTCCATCGAGGTAGGTGCACGCTCTCCGTCCCCGTCTCTCGCATGTCCCGTCCCGTTCGCACAGCTGCTGTGTCGCCGCCACGTCTACGCACTCGCCTGCTCTATCGAGGTAGGTGCACGCTCTCCGTTCCCGTCTCTCGCATGTCCCGTCCCGTTCGCACAGCTGCTGTGTCGCCGCCACGTCTACGCACTCGCCTGCTCCATCGAGGTAGGTGCACGCTCTCCGTCCCCGTATCTCGCATGTCCCGTCCCGTTCGCACAGCTGCTGTGTCGCCGCCACGTCTACGCACTCGCCTGCTCCATCGAGGTAGGTGCACGCTCTCCGTCCCCGTCTCTCGCATGTCCCGTCCCCTCTCACGCATGTCCCGTCCCGTTCACACAGCTGCTATGTCGCCGCCACGTCTATGCACTAGCCTGCTCCATCGAGGTAGGTGCACGCTCTCCGTCCCCATCTCTCGCATGTCCCGTCCCGTTCGTACAGCTGCTGTGTCGCCGCCACGTCTACGCACTCGCCTGCTCCATCGAGGTAGGTGCACGCTCTCCGTCCCCGTCTCTCGCATGTCCCGTCCCGTTCGCACAGCTGCTGTGTCGCCGCCACGTCTACGCACTCGCCTGCTCCATCGAGGTAGGTGCACGCTCTCCGTCCCCGTCTCTCGCATGTCCCGTCCCGTTCGCACAGCTGCTGTGTCGCCGCCACGTCTACGCACTCGCCTGCTCCATCGAGGTAGGTGCACGCTCTCCGTCCCCGTCTCTCGCATGTCCTGTCCCGTTCGCACAGCTGCTGTGTCGCCGCCATGTCTACGCACTCGCCTGCTCCATCGAGGTAGGTGCACGCTCTCCGTCCCCGTCTCTCGCATGTCCCGTCCCGTTCGCACAGCTGCTGTGTCGCCGCCACGTCTACGCACTCGCCTGCTCCATCGAGGTAGGTGCACGCTCTCCGTCCCCGTCTCTCGCATGTCCTGTCCCGTTCGCACAGCTGCTGTGTCGCCGCCAGGTCTACGCACTCGCCTGCTCCATCGAGGTAGGTGCACGCGCTCCGTCCCCGTCTCTCGCATGTCCCGTCCCGTTCGCACAGCTGCTGTGTCGCCGCCACACCTACGCACTTTACTGCTCCGTCGAGGTGGATGCACGCTTTCCGTCCCCCTCGCTCGCATGTCCCGTTCCGTTCGCACTCGGTCGCCGCTCAGCTGCTACGCCACCGCCACGCCTACGCGCTCGCCTGCTCTGTACACGCTCTCCGTAGCATATTTTTACTGAGCATGTAGTATTTTAAGACATATTAATACTCGCGCGTCATGTCTAAAGTACGATATTTTATGCAATATCCCCTAAATCCATTACCCGTCTCTTTGAGCGCATATCTCCTATGTGATATGTACTATCGCAGGAAAGCCGCGTGGCGCGGGCGTACTCGCTGGCGGCTTTGCAGTCGCTGCACGCGCTGCTGCGCACGCTGGGCGCCGCGCACGCGCGCACCGCCGCGCTCTGGGCCGACCTGCACGCTGCTTTGCGGGGCTAGCCAAGTGCTTGGGGGGGGGGATAACAACAAGAATAAGTACCATGGACGGACGTGCATGCCACGCTGTGACATGAGCTGCGCAAGGAGGAGGGAGTGTGGAGGAGGGTAACAATAGGTATGCACGCTGTGAACCGACCTGCATGCTGCGCTGCGGCACTAGCCGTGCGGGCGTAGGGGGATAACAATAGGAGTGCTGTGGGCCGACCTGCATGCCGTGACACGTAGCCACGGAGGAAGGGGTAGGGGCTGTAATAGTTGGATTCGTGCCTTGGGCCGACCTGCACGCTGCGCTCTGGTACATGCGCCGCGACATGCAGTAGCCACAAGTAGAAGAAGGGGAGGTGGGGATAGCTATAGGGACTCGCTCGCTCGGCATCGGCAAACAAGCACACAGTCCACTCATATAGATGGTAAGTGGCTCGTAAACACACATCTGTCCCCGATTCAAAATCAAAATACAGATGTATTGTCACAATGAAAAGTAACTTGAAATGTCTCAATTAAAAATATAACAGTAATTTTATTATATTAAATGTAAGTTAATTTGAATTTGAATATGAATTTTCCAATATATATTACTATATGTAACCAGCGCAGTGAAAAAAAGGTACAAATTTTTGTTCCTATAAACATAAAGATTTTTTTCCTTGTTGTTATTCTTAAATAGTAAACCCTTTGTCGGGCATATGTAGTAGGCGGTTCGGATGAATATATTTTTAGACAAATGGAAGATATTCTCATATGTGACATTTTACCGCAGGTGCTTAGTAACCTGGGATTTTATACAAAATCACACATATTTAAGACAAAGATAATTTTTATAAAATTAAAGACATACTTTAAGGTCATAAAGACTATATTATAAAAATTAATGACGGAAGTAATAATACATTGTGTATATGTATACATCTGATCATATATATCATATACTTTATATATAAATGCACCCTAGTGCCTACATTCTCACGTGAAGTGAAGACAAGTGGGCAAGAGACGAGACATGTAGATAAAGACCAATTCACATTATTTGAAAACTGTATTATTCGGAGGAGAATTGTAACTGACATTATAGTATATCATCACCAAAAAACGATAACCATAAAACGGAGTCGAGCAGAGCAGTTTTAATCTCGATCTCGACAACAGCGCCACCTACCGGATCTAATTGTGAATTAAAACCATCCAGTTAAAATTAAACACACATAAAAAAATATCAAAATCGGTCCAGTCGTTTAGGAGTTCATACACATATAGAAATATATGTAATACACGTACAGAAAAATTGTATATATATAAAAAAATTAAGCCGATCTAAATTAAAGATATTGTTACGAGCTTAGGGTTCGTGACAGTAAAAACTGCCGATTGATTTACCAAAATTGACACTTTAATTACTGAACACCAATTGAATCTTAAACACACTAATAATTATTCGCACTTAACACTTTAGTTCATTTTATTTCACACCGAAAGCTTCACTTGTATCGCCAATTCAATACTGCCCCGGTCGCGGCCTCCAATGGCCTTAAATAGGCTTTTTCCACCGAAACATACAGAATGTTTCAGTAAATACCGGTCCCGACCGACTTAGTGCAGAAAGTTCGAGTGTGGACTTTTCTAGAAAGCTTAGTTCTTCTAACTATTCGATACTAGATGGCGCTGGAGGTGAAAAGTTCCAGCATGGCATTTTCTGGAAAGCTCTCCTCGCTCTGTTCCCCGACACTAGATGGCGCTAGTGCCGGGTACCTGAAATCAACTTAGTCGCGCAACAATATAAACGCTTAACTCTTTCCTCCGCTTTTTTTCAGCTCCTCTCTTGGCTGCCCCACGCTGCTCTGTATCAGTGAACAGGCGACCTGTCGGCCAGGGTCTTAAACTCTGGTCGACAGGTAAGTTTTATCGCTGTCTTGGTAGCTTGCTGGTAAAGCTCGCTATACTAAATGTGACGTTGCTTAAAACTATAAAACAACCATTTAAGTTTGTACTACGTATTAGAACAGACACCGCGAACAAAATATGTGCGACAATACGGAGCGCGTGTTGAAGAGGCACAGAGTACCTTTTTATTAAAGTTGCTCAAAACGGCTATATATCAATTGCACGCTATAGACTTTAAACTATAGGTTTCTAGCGCGCTATTAAATACGCTAAGTTATAGCGCGCTATTTATAAGAAAGCGTGTGCGAGGCCGGCGAGTGCGTAAAGTTTTACAATATGTTAAATCTCGTAACAAATTACATTACATATGGATAGACCGCGTGCTACATAAGAATATTATTTCGTAATAAGTCGCATTTTAGACGCAATAAAAATAAAGCAATAAAAAAAAGCTATGAACACTCTTTCATACTTTTCGGGCTTATGACTATAATCGATTTAAACGTTATTTTAACCTTGCACCATGGCGGCTACTTACATAGCACACGCTATGCGCAATGGAGATAAAGTAAAGTAAAGTTACAGCCTATATACGTCCCACTGCTGGGCACAGGCCTCCCCTCAATTCTGAGAGGGTTTTAGGGCAAGGAAGTGTCCGCCGCGCTGCCCCAATGCGTGTTGGCGAACAAGCAGCAGTTAACAATTACATTGGTGCCGGCGGGGATCGAACCCGGGTTGCTCGCATTCTGTTATATTTACAGCGAGCGTTAACCATCTGAGCTACCACGGCTACCACGGCTATGGTGATATAGCGCGCTATAATATCGATACCTCCTAAGTATAATGTTAACTGACATTATAGTAATTTTATAGGAGAGCGATTTGAAGGCTAATCGTTTATATTTTAATGAAATCAAACTAGGGTAAACTACCCAATTATGGACACTTTAAGACGTTCGTCACAAAACGTTTAGCAAAAAATAGTTAAACAAACTATTTTTGTAATTTGTTTGTAGATATTAATATTCTGTCATTATCATTCTTTTAAAAGTTGGCGATATTGTGCAAATTATAATTACTATTTATGAAAAAAGTTCGTTTATCTGAAGTTATCTCTAACTTCCTATTATTGACATACATTTTCCTATTAATGACACTGAACTGTCTAAATATTGACACCCTGGTTCTCATGTCTGTTGAACGCTAATTTTAACAAATTTATTGGAAAAATAGTAAATAAATAGTACTCTGTAATTTAAAAATATGTAATAGAATTCTTAAAAAATAAACAGTTACCCCAAAAATAACATTTTCTCCTGTTAATCACTATAAAGGTATCAATTAATCAACATTGCAATAATCAGTACTTAAGAAATCACAAAAAAAAAAAAACAGTTGCATCAAAAATAGGTAATAAACTTCTCTTCTTTATCACTATGAAAGTATCAACTAATCAACATAAGGTACAAGTTTCATTTAAAGTCATTATAACAATAATGTTTACGATATAAATGTACGTTTTACGATGGTTATTTACGTATTTATTAAACTGAGATCATAACTTCTCTAATAACTTTAACAAGTTAGTACCTACTGAGAAAATTCTTCAAGTAAATTTTCGATATCTTTATCCTGCAGTGTTTTCTTATCTAATTTTGATTTAACATTAAATTCTTTTGCAAATCGTTCTTTTAAACACAAAGTATCTTGGTCTCGAATCTTATTACCAGTGTCCTTAGAATCTATATTCAATCTCATATTGGTACATATAGTCTTCATAGGTATTTGTAACAGTTTGTTAGAGGCACTCGTTCTTTTGTTATCATCAAAATTAAGTTTTGTTTTTACTTTTGCAATCTCTTCAGCCTTATATTCTGTAGAAAATATATGTTGCTCATGATTGATATCCATCATTATTGCCTTTGGTTCTTCAGTATTTGCTTCTGTGTTATTAAAAGTTTCTAATCTATCTGAAATTTTATTTTGTGAAATAATGTCGTCGGATATCACAATCACTTTGGCTTCTCTTTTCTTTTTGGTCTCTGTCATTTTTTTGGTTAAAAAGTTTTTAGTTTTCTTAATTTGTTCTTTTTTCAATATTCTCTCTTCTTTTCTTTTTTTTATTTCTTCCGCCTTTTTTTGTTTCTCATCAGCCTTTGACTTCTCTTTTATTTGCCATTCCTCAGATGTCAATACAAACGAAACTCGTTCTGTGTTTCTCACCCCTTTCCTGACCGGAGTTTTGGCTAAAACTAAAGTGTCCTTTAGATTAATTTTTTTCATTGATCTTATTATTTTGTCACTTAAATTAGTTGGCATGATCTTTGGTGGAGAATTTGCAAGTGTAGTAATATTTTGTACTGAGCAATCTGTAAAAACATCGATATTTTCTAATAAATCTTCATTGTTATAATGTGAGACTTCTTGTCTATTAGGGGTAGGTTGTAAAAATGTATTTGAAATAACAGATGGAGTATGAATTTCTACTTCATGTGAAACTTCAAAGCAAGATAGTCTTTCTTGTGAATCATTCCAATCTTCCACAGAATCACATAAAATTACAGGAAGATTAGCAATATCGAAATTGGTATTTGGTTCCTCATAAAAGTTGTCTTCAGATTCAATGGATGTAACACCTTTTGATATGCATGCAGTAGTTTTGTTATTGGGAGTCTCAGATGTAGTAAACTTAAGAAGGGATTGTGAAACTTCAAAAAAATCAAAAACTTGTTTCAAAATTTTGTCTTTTTCATACTTACATTCTTTAATCATATCGAGGAATCGACTTTTTTGTAACACTACATCTTTATTATTGCTTATGCTTTTTACTCGTTTACCAAGACATTTGTCAAAGGTTATACTATCAGGATTCCACGGGAAAAGTCCAGCAGCCCTAAAACCATTTTGCAATATTTCCGGATGAATAGAACTATTAATGGCTTTTTCTAAAATCGGTGCGAATTCCAATTTTGTTAGAGCTTGAGATGTACTGTTTCTTCTCCACTCCATCACACTTTTTTTCCAACCATTTTTTAGAGGTTTAAAAGCGGATACATCCGCGGGCTGCAATATTCTTGTGGCATTTGGATAAAGAGCGATAAGTATGATTTGTAATTCTGTAC